TTGAATTGTGTGTTTACTAATTCAGTTGAATATATGTGAGTGTATCCCATTTGTGTTCATTTGCCCTCCAACTCCAACAAAGTGGTATCAGAGCCTTGTTACAAGATCGGCAAAGAAAAATAGCGTCTAACAACATGTTGCAGCCCCAACTTCCCAAGTTTAGTGGGAAGAATTACAACCAGTGGAGTATACAAATGAAAGTGTTGTATAGATCCCAAGATTTATGGGAAATTGTTGAAAACGGTTTTGAAGAACCGGAGAATCAAGCGGGGCTAAGTCAAGCACAACTCAATGAGTTGAAGGAGAATCGAAAGAATGACAGGAAGGCGTTGTTCTTCATTTATCAAGCAGTTGATGAAGTAATTTTTGAAAGAATCTCGACAGCCATTTCAGCAAAGCAAGCGTGTGATACGTTACAGGCCACTTATAAGGGTGAAGATAAAGTTAAAGTGGTGAGATTGCAAGCTTTTCGAGCTGAATTCGATACGATTAAGATGAAAGATTCTGAAAGTGTAGAAGAATATTTTGATCGTATTCTTTCGATCACTAACCAATTGAAGGTGAATGGAGAATATATTCAATATCAAAGAATTGTTGAAAAAATCCTCCGAAGTATGCCCAGAAAATTCGAACTCATCGTTATAACACTTGAAGAGTCAAAAGATTTGTCGACTTTGTCAGTAAATAGCTTGATGGGATTTCCAATCTCATGAGCTTCGATTAAAGAATTTTGATTCAATGCTTCTAGAACAAGCATTTTATGCTCAAACTTCTTTTAGAGAAGGTTCGAGAGGAATAAGAAGTGATCGAGGTGGCCGAGGAAGAGGAAGAAATAGTGAAGGAAGAACTTTTGAGTCTAAGGAAAATGCTAATTTTCCTCCTAATAGAGGAAGATGAATGAATAGAGGTCGAGGCCGAGGTCGAAGCAGAGGACAAGGTAGAGGTCGCGGTGACTCATATCATCTCCAGTGTTTCAATTGTGGAAAATTGGGGCATTTTCAAGCAGATTGTTGGTTCAAAAAGAATGATAACGAAGCAAGTAACAGTTCGACATTCATACACAAGGAGGAAGAAAAGGAAGAAGGAGTTTTCATGTTGGCTTGCAATACACAAGAAGAAGTTTCAGAAAATATATGGTATATCGACAGTGGTTGTAGCAATCACGTTACTGGAGATAGAACGCCTTTGCAAATTTGGATGAATCTATCTAAAGTAAAGTCAAAACTGGTGATAATAAAAGACATTTTGTCAGAGGAAAATGCGACATTCTTGTCAAAAGTAAGAAGGGAGTGCAGAAGATTACTGATGTATATTATGCTCCAGGTCTTAAATACAATCTTTTGAGTATTAGACAGATTCTGAAAAAGGGAAATGATGTACACTTCAACAATGATGTTTGTGTGGTTAAAGGCAAAAATGGTGGGCTGATTACAAAGGTACAAATGAAACAAAACAGAATGTTTCCATTGAAGCTTATGTATGAGAAGATGGTCAGTTTTAGTGCTGTGATGAATGAAGAATCGTGGCTATGGCATCACAGATATGGGCACGTGAATTTCAACTCATTATCCTACATGCGTCAAAAGAACATGGTGAAAGGTTTGCCAAGAATCAATAGAGCAGATGGAGTTTGTGAAGCTTGCATTTTGGGAAAGCATCATCGAGAGCCTTTTCCCATTGGAAAGGCGTGGAGAGCTTCAAAACCACTTGAGTTGGTATATGCAGATTTGTGTGGACCAATGCGAACCATGTCAATAGGAGGTAATCTTACTTTCTGACATTTATAGATGATTATAGCAGGAAAACATGGATTTATTTGCTGAAAGAAAAGAGTGAAGCATTTGAAAGATTTAAAGCATTCAAAGCCCTTGTCGAAAATGATAGTGGCTACAAGATCAAAACCATATGATCTGATCGAGGTGGTGAGTACATTAGTTATAAGAAGTTTTTGATCAAGCATGGTATTCAACATCAGAAAACTGTTCGAGGGACTCCACAACAAAATGGAGTTGCCGAAAGGAAAAAAAGAACCATCATGGAGTTGGCTCGAAATATGTTGACAACAAAGGGGATGCCAAAGATTTTTTGGGGTGAAGCAGTATCATGTGTGGTATATTTACTAAATCGAGCTACAACAAAAGCTGTTTAAGGAATGACTCCTTATGAAGCTTGGAGCGGTTTAAAGCCACGTGTTAATCATCTAAGAATTTTTGGCAGTATTGCTTACTCCCATATTCCAGACGAGAAGAGAGGTAAATTAGATGATAAATCTGAAAAGTGTGTTTTTGTTGGCTATAGTGAAAGCTCAAAGGCATATAGGTTGTATAATCCTACCTCAAAGAAGATAATCATCAGCCGAGATGTGAAGTTCAATGAAAAAGAAGCATGGAAATGGGAAAATACCATTCATGAAAGGAATTCAACTGTTGTGGATATGGAAAGCAAAGAAGAAGATCAAGATGTTCAGCATGTTGAAAACATACCAAATTCTCCAAGCTCAAGTTCATTATCATCAAGTGATGAAGAATCGCCTCCTCCAAAAACAAGAAACATCCGGTAAATTTATGAAGCAGCAAGAAGAATTGATGGGGATGACTTGATAAATTTTGTGATGTTTGCTGATGCAATAAATTTTGAAGACGCCGCAAAAGATAAGAAATGGAAGAAAGCTATGGACCAAGAAATTGATGAAATCAAAAGGAACAAGACATGGGAATTGACCGAGCTTCCAATAGACAAGAAACCACTTAATGTGGAGTGGGTTTACAAAACAAAGCTAAATGAGAAGGGAGAAGTGGACAAGTACAACACAAGACTTGTTGTGAAAGGTTACAAACAAAAACATGGCATTGATTATGAAGAAATTTTTGCTCCGGTGACTCGAATGGAGATAGTTCGATTAATTCTTGCAATAACAGCTCAAAGAGGATGGAAAATACATCAAATGGATGTAAAATCAGCATTTTTAAATGGCTATATCAAAGAAGAAGTTTATGTTGAGCAACCACCAGGTTATGTGAAGAAAGGTGAAGAAGGCAAGGTATGTCATTTGAAGAAGGCCTTATATGGTTTAAAACAAGCTCCAAGGGCTTGGTACAGTCGCATTGATAGTTTTTTCATAAAGAATGGGTTCAGGAGATGTCCTTATGAACATGCTCTCTACACCAAGGAAGACAAAAATGGAAATATTTTAATAGTTTGCTTATATGTTGATGACTTAATTTTCACCAGCAGTTGTAAGAAGATGTGTGATGAGTTCAAGATGTCGATGATGAATGAGTTCAAGATGACAGATATGGGGCTTCTTCATTATTTCCTTGGAATCGAAGTTAAGCAAAAAAATGATAAGATCATAATTTCACAAAAGAAATATGCAAAAGATTTGCTTGCAAAGTTCAAAATTGAGGAAGCCTCGCCAAGTACAACACCCATGGAAGTAGGTTTGAAGTTGAGCAAAAATGATGTGAGTGAAGATTTTGATGCTATTGTCTATAGAAGTCTTGTGGGAAGTCTTATGTACTTAACCGCAACAAGACCAAATTTAATGTTTTCAGTTAGCATGCTAAGCAAGTTCATGGCAGCACCAAAGCAAAGTCATTGGGATGCTGGAAAGAGAATTTTGAGATATATTCGAGGTACAATTGATCATGGAATTCATTACAAGAGAGTTCAAAATTCAACTCTGATCGGATATAGTGATAGTGATTGGGGAGGTAGTGGAGATGATCACAAAAGTACTTCTGGTTATGTCTTTAACATTGGTTCAGGTGCAGTATCTTGGGCATCAAAGAAGCAACCTGTAGTAGCACTTTCAACGACAGAAGCTGAATATATTTCTCTGTCCACAGCTGGTTGCCAAGCACTATGGTTGAAATGGGTATTAGAAGATTTGAAGTATTTTCAGGTGAAAGATACTGTTTTGTTTTGTGATAATAATTCAGCAATTACACTTAGCAAGAATCAAGTTTTTCATGGCAGAAGCAAGCATATTAGAATCAAGTATCACTTCATTAGAGATTTGGTTAAAGATGGAGAAATTGTCACCAAACAGTGCAAAACCGAAGATCAGATTGTAGACATTTTTACAAAAGCATTGAAGTTAAAAAGTTTTATTAAATTGAAGGAGAAACTTGGAGTTGCACAAGTCTAGCTTAAGGGGGGATGTTGGAAGATGAATCTAGACTTGTCTAGATTCATCTATGAAGACCAAGTGATACTTGAGAAGGTGCAAAGAATCTCATAATAATTGCTAGTCCATGGAACATTTTGGTGTATATGAAATATTTTGGTTCATTGTGTGGTTCATTGCATGTATTAAATTCATGTACTAGAAGTATCCATTGAGTAGTATAAATAGGTGAGTCATGTAAGTGTATTTCAACACAAAAACAATTGAGCAATACAAGATAAAGAATTCAGCTTTATAGAAGTGAGTGTTTCTAAATTGAATTGTGTGTTTACTAATTCAGTTGAATATATGTGAGTGTATCCCATTTGTGTTCATTTGCCCACCAACTCCAACAGAGTCAACTGCGCTCTCCTCACTTTCCATGATGGGAAAGACGGTAGAGATAATGACGATTTATAAAACTAGTGCAGACCATATAGCAATCTTGAAGAAAAAATAAATAGTTGGAGGTGCTAACTAGGGGAAACATGACATGCTGCAGAACCAACCAAACTCAACTTATATCTGGAAGACACATGACATCTGCTAAGACTAGGCAAGACACATGTCCTACACGGTTACATATGCAGTTTCCTAGGAACATTAGCATTGCTTCTTTTCCTTGGTAGGTGAGGTTTTCCCTTGTCAATGTCATGCATGTATTGAACATAAGTTGCAGATATCATATGATGCCATATGTATTCATGTTTCTTTTAGAGGTATTGCTTCCAAATCCTATGATATATTTAATGACGATGTGCAAATTTATTTAAAATTTTCTCTACTTTTGTAAGTTCAATTGTTCTCTAAATTTATGGATTGTTTTCTTTAGGGCTGCAAAAGCCTTCAGCCATTCTGCTCACCAAAACCTGATGATGTTGCCACAATTTGCTATACAAGCGGTACAACTGGGACACCAAAGGTGATAATTTAAGTGGTACAACCTGATAATATGGCTTCCTTTTTTTTTAATTTTTTTATTAGTAAGACAACGCACCCAAATCCAAGTGGGGCAAATGATATCTTTCTGATTTTGACGCGAAATTTTTTTTTTTTTTTTTTTAATTGGCTGCTATGGTAAGTGAATGAAGTACGTTCCTTTGTAATTATGGTTAGGGAGCTCTATTGACTCATGGAAACTTGATTGCAAATGTTGCTGGGGTATTCCTTACCGTCAAATTCTATCCATCTGATGTGTGAGTATCAATAATTTAGTCTACCAAAACATATAACACCATTATTGGTGCACCGTGATTTTTTATAGTTATGTTCAATATTTTATTTTTCCTAAATTCTCTCCTATTTTGGCAGTTTCATATCATATCTTCCTTTGGCACACATATATGAACGGGCTAACCAGGTGATGACGGCACATTTTGGAGTCGCAGTTGGATTTTACCAGGGAGTATGATCCTCAACTATACAATTTTTTTCTTTTTCTTTTTCTTTTCTAGTTCCACTTTGTGAAGGGTATTGTTTGAGTAATTACATACAATTATTTAATATATTAGAATTGACGCTCTCCCGCTCCCACTTTATGTGACTTGGATCATGATAAACCTGTACCATCATTATGAGTGTATCATATTGAGTAAATGGTGCACGTCAAATATCACATATTGTCATCAATATTTGTCTCCATCATATATGGAATTTCACAGAGGCCATTGTGGCACATAATTAACTCATAAGACATACCATTTGTTAAATTAGAAATAGCTGAAAGAACTTGGATTTGACGTTGTTATTTTTATAACATTCAGTTGGTATTGGAGTTTAATGCTTATGCTTTCTATAAGAATATCAGCTTGGTTTGACATGCTACATTAGGAGAAAAAGTATCCTGTTAGAATTTTTTATTCTTTGAGCCTTACATGCTCTGTTAACCTTTGTCTGTAGGACAATTTGGAATTAATGGATGATATTGCCGCTCTAAGACCCACTATATTTTGCAGTGTTCCACGCTTGTACAATCGAATATATGCTGGGTAATAATTATTATCCTCAAATTATTCATGTAGTTGCAATTAAAGTTATCAACAATTCAATCAGATGCTTCAATTGCTGCAGTGTCATGAACACTGTAAAGATGTCTGGTGTCCTGAGAGAGAGGCTATTTAATGCTGCCTACAATGCTAAGAAGCAAGCGATATTGAGTGGTAAAGTATTTGATTGACTAGATTGCTATTGCATTTTAGCATATGAGGCACTTTCATGAGATTCTTTGGCGTATGCTGATTTAGCTAATCAACTGAACTGATATGTGCTTAAAAGTTCCTATATCTTGATTTTGACTAGTATGTGTTACATTTTTTAAGTTTCTATTATTAGTATATTTAATATGTATTTCTATGATACATGTGCCTTTGCTAAGATTTGTTCCTTATGTTTTGACTTGTGCTTAGGCTCCAGGAGATCTTAGTGCCTTAGTGAACCTTCAGCCTTTATAAGTAAGCTCCAAAGTATGATCAAGTTATTTGTGCCCATACAAAAACTTCTTCTTCTTCTTCTTGTGTGGGCTTCCCTTTTTTTTTTTTTTTTCATATAAAAAAAAACTTGTTTCTATTTTTTTCAATAAAAGAAAACTTGATTTTGTATTATTGAATTTGTTAAATGGATAACACAATTACGTGTAGAATACTTCTTGTAAATTGAATTGTTATAAACTTTTGGAGACAAAACTCTATCCACCTGTGTTGCTTATCCTTTTGTGTTTATGTGTTGAATAAGATAATTGTTCATTTGTTCATCTAGTTACAGTTCCAAATCTGATTCAGCACCCTTTTTTAGCGGTGTCCTTTTCTGAATTATTCTGATCTGCCTGTTTCTTTAATCTAAACAAGAGGAAAAGAAAAATGAAAACTTGTGATGAGTTTCTGCTGTTTCTTAGATTTAGAGGTTCAGTTACATGTTATTGCATGTTTCAGGCAAGAATCCATCTCCAATGTGGGACAGACTGGTGTTCAATAAAATAAAGGAAAAGCTTGGAGGCCGAGTTCGTTATTTGATTTCAGGTGCCTCACCCTTGTCTCCTGATGTCATGGACTTCTTGAGGGTGTAAGTTTATGGGTTCTCTTGGCATGAATGTCCACCTATATATTGAATTATTGTTTTTATGACTAGTTTTTTCACTTGTTGAAAAAAATAACTAGTTCTTTTTTCTTTTCTTTTTAATCAATTTGCTAATAACTTGAGATTACTTCACAGGTGCTTTGGTTGTCAAGTTGTAGAAGGATACGGAATGACTGAGGCCTCTTGTGTTATAAGCGTTATGGATCAGGGTGACAACCTATCTGGTCATGTTGGCTCTCCTAATCCTGCTTGCGGTATGTTATTCACTTGATTGTAAGAAAAAATTATTGATTACCTGGTTAAGCTGTTTCAGATTCGCAGTTTGTAATGAGCATTTTCAAATAGATGCCACTTTGTGCTGAATTGTGTCGGCATAGTTTTACATAACCATTTTTTGTTTGTTTTCATGTATCACCAACCAGCTGAATAGTCTGATTCTCCCCATCCCCCATCCCAATTATTCTCTTAACTAATGAATATATATTGAGGAAGGCTAATGTGCATTCATGGATATGGGGTGTAGATAGAATTATTTATGAATTAAATGCATACATGGATCTTTAATTTTTCTCTTCCTTGTCTTTCTGTTGTCGTGGTGGTGGTTTTGTATTGTTTACATCTGTCCTACATTCATGGATGTGGTTATACCCATCTTTTTCTTCTTCGGTCATTTCTTTTATTACATGGACTCTTCTAAATGCATGAAGTGCTCATCTTGAACACACAACACCAGGATATAGCTCATACGGGTTTGTGATGTGTTTCCAACATGCCTAGTTGGACTGCACCTAGAAAGCATATTTGATAATTCAAGCACTACAGAAATGCACATAGAACTCTCTTCTTGTGTTCCATATGTCGCATTATTACTTCAAAATGAGTGTGTGCTGACTCACTCTATGTTGAATTGGAGCACTATTACATCTTAAAAAATAAAATAAGAAAATTTTAAAATATGAATATTTAGCAATGACCTAGTGTCTCATGTTTGGGGATATGACGATTTTAGACTAACACCCACCAACACACACACCTAAGTCCATGTAACATACGTAAGCCGTAAGCATTGTACTGAATTTATGGAGTATTATAGGCAACTTGATTTCTTCAAGTCTTTATCCTATAAAGAAGCCATTACATGGTGCTTGTTCCACCCACACGAGGTATCAAGAAGGAAAGATTGGAGATAGACCTAACTTTTGGTTTTATTTTGCACATGATGACTGCTTCTACACTTGAACCCGTGTTAGCACACTTGAAAACTTGAGCTTTTATCATTGCATCAAGCAATAACCCCTAAACACATCAAGTGAATGGATTGAATTTATGCATTGAAAGTATTAACTGGTAAGTAACTAATTTATTTGTGAAGATGATTATGAGTTGACAAAAAGGGGTTTCTTAATGCAAGATTCATATTCTCTTCATAACATTTTTTGCACTTATGTTACTTGTTTTTTCATTATATTTTTTTTGAAAAATTCTACTCACTCTGGGTTATTTTTATTTTCTACTTTTCCTGTTTCAGAGATAAAGCTTGTAGATGTTCCGGAAATGAACTACACGTCTGAGGATCAGCCCTATCCACGGGGAGAAATCTGTGTAAGGGGCCCTACTGTATTCCAAGGTTACCATAAAGACGAAGTGCAGACGTACTCACCTTCGCTTTCTGTTTCACGTCCTAAATTATAATTTGAATATGTTGAATTTGTCAAAGTTGAAAACGTCTAATGGCCTAAGAAAATTGGGCAGGAGAGAAGTTATTGATGAAGATGGATGGCTTCATACAGGAGACATAGGTTTGTGGTTCTCTGGAGGTCGCCTAAAAATAATTGATAGGTAAGATCTATTGATGAGATTCATAATGGCATGCCTCTTACCTCATTTGTTGGCATGGATGTGGTAAAATGGATTCTAGTGATCTAGTCTGCATATGCAGGCTGTCCACTTTTGTCAAAGGCTATGTATTTGTAGTATATTCTCACGTCTGCCTTTTGTTTTGAGTCTGAATCACAATACTTGCCTTAATACCATATGAATGGGTCGGCCACATGATTTTTCTTTTTCCATTTTTGTTTTTCACACAACATTCTTTTCTACTACTGTTACTTATGCAAAAGCATCCATGTCATCCTACATTAATTGAGTTTGGAACATGTTAACTACAGTTTTAGGAGTGTAAGCAAAAAGTTTTTACTTGAGCATTGTACTCAGTTGTGTAATATTATTACAGGAAGAAGAACATTTTTAAGTTGGCACAGGGAGAGTATATAGCTCCAGAGAAAATCGAGAATGTATATGCTAAATGCAAGTTTATTGCACAGTGCTTTATATATGGTAAGAACAAAAGTCTCTGTGTGTGTGGGTGTGTGTGTGACTGCTGATTTATTTTTGCTTGTAGGTGACAGCCTGAACTCTTCCTTGGTTGCTGTTGTCTCGGTCGACCAGGATGTGTTGAAAGCTTGGGCTTCAACTGAAGGCATCAAGGTGATTTCTTCACTTAGTCTAGCAAACATGACATTGATATTCATCATAGTTGTGAAGTTACTTTTTAAAATTATTCAAAAATTGATTACAAGTGCACGACTGTGACAGCCAAAGTTCAAATCACCTTTTTTGCCATATTTTTGTACTAAAATGTTTCCCTGTAGGCATAATCATGTTGAAAAATAAAGTTCAGAAAGGAATTTGTTTGTTTTGAATATACAAGTCTTCCAATATTCCTACTAATCCGACCATTTAACTTGTGAAATTAAAATTTGTGACTACGGAAATTTTGATGTAGAAAGGATATAAATTGTTCATCAGGAAGCCCAAACAAGTATTTTCAATCTGGATACCTTGAACTTGATTATCTCATCCAATGTACCAAACTGTCTTCCAAAAACAAAAGATGGCTGATTCTTTATTATTTTTGTGGTCACAACATATTATTGTGATGTATGGTAGTGTCTTGGCGTGCATTTTTGTCTTAGTATTTCATGGAATTATACACGCAACTGCAGTATGAAGATCTAGGACAACTGCGCAGTGATGCAAGAGCTAGGGCTGCTGTCTTGACTGACATGGACGTCATTGGAAGGGAAGCTCAGGTGTTCTATGTCACTGACAAACGCGTATTCTTTTCTTTTGCTTTACATATTCATATGGGTATACTTCACTGCAGTTGAGGGGTTTTGAATTTGCAAAAGCTGTAACTTTGGTTGTCGAACCATTTACATTGGAGAATGGTCTGCTCACTCCAACATTTAAGGCAAGTGAAAAATCTGGGAGCAAAATATTACTGCTGTAGATGAACTGAGAATGACAGACTCAACTGTGTTTTGTTCTTTTCTTTCAGATCAAGAGACCTCAAGCAAAGGCATATTTTGCCAAAGAAATTGCTGACATGTATGCGGAACTTTCGACTTCTGATCCCTCTCCCAAGAGCATGTTGTGAAATACAGCCTCAAATACAGAGGATGATCCGGCATTTCCATTTTTTATTTTTAAGCAGTGTCCAACTCGAAAAACTTACCAATTACAACATTTCACGAACTACTGTTTGATATTGTAGCCAACATCACTGAGTAACATTTGAGCATTGTAGCCATATTTGAGTTTAGTTTATATCCCTTGATATTCAGGCCATTTAAGTGCATATATATATATATTTGGAGAATCAATATTGAGTTTAAGGCTGTGTACATGTGTAAGAGCATCCGGGGCGCATGTACTTGTAGAGAGATAGTGTGTCAGTATAGAGAGAGAGGGGGGCGGTATGCACAACAAATGGAGTGTCTTTTTGTGGGCCCCACAAACACTAATCCATTGGGTTCTCTACAGACAGAGAGGTGTTTGTAGAATATGCATTAATTTTTTTCTTTTGTTTAATTGGCTGCTGTCTTGTATAGATTATCACAATGAATCAGTTGATACAACGTAAAAAGGAGACAGAAATGACTTTTTCAACAGCAGTTTTAACAGCTATTTACTCTATAAATACTAATTTTCATCTTCAATAATTCTCTCTCAATATTTTTTTAACATTCATTTTTATGGATCTTCAACCTCCATTCCATTGCTCCTAACTCAACCAGTCTCATAACTCCGAATTACCACCGCAATCCAATTATAATTTGGATTCTTTAATTTTTTTTCAATCCGAAAATTCATCTCAACTCCAATACTCTTATTTCCCATTCCAACCTTCTCAATTCCAACTTGTACCATATCCCCAATTCCCACTCATTACCAATTCTAACCATCTCAATTCCAACCATGTCAATCCCAACATAATTTTAGGGTACGAAAACAAATTAGTCTATTGAAGAAGATGAAACATTATGCAAAGTATGGGTTGATATTGGAAAAGATCCAATAACCTTTTAGCCCCCACACCACTTGCTCTTAACTTTAGTGGGGTTGTGATCATTGAATGCTAAAGTTGAATATGCAGTCGTGACGGTCACCTCAACTAGCCGTTACTAACGGATGTTTATTGTTTAATACTAGTAGTCTAGTCCACAATGGGCCTGGAAAGTTTGGGCTAGATCTTTTGAAGTGTGAAAAATCTGTTCTTGTGTTGGGCTTGGGCAAGTATTAAAAACAAAAGACAATTGTACAGAAGTTCTCAAAGGAAAAAAGAGGCCCAAGGTCCAAAGGCCAACCAGGTACAAAAGCACATTTGGGACCAGCACTTTTACTGATGAAATGCGAAGAAGCAAGTCTAGAGTTGGAATAAAGGTGAGGCTAGGTCAATAGGTGGGGTGGGATGGACCAAAATTAGAACAGTGCTTCGGTTCCATTAAGTTAAGAAAACACCTTACAAAAAAAGTTATAATTTCTAACTTATTTCTTAATATTTTTGTAAATTGTATCTCTAACTTGATGGAACTATGATTGAAGAGAGTTTTGTTTGGAGATGAGATTGTTTTAAAGAAGGATTGAGATAGAGAGGTCATATTGAGATAGAGAGCTCACGACCCTACACTCAGATAAAACTTTTAAAAACTCTTACACTCTCTCATTTGACTTGAGACTAAAATTCAAGGTAAAATTGCTCTTTTACCATGATAATTTTAATAATAAAATAAAGAAATAAATCTGGGATTATGAATTGACATTTTTGCCCACAATCCATATTAAAATTATTTCCTCTCTTTCCTCCATACTGTTCCCTCTTTGTTTTCTCTCTCTTCTCTGAACCTCCTGCCACCACCCCCAACCACCCCTAGCCGCGGTGACCACCATCTCGTTAGTTGGATCCTCTCTCTCATTTCTTATTTATTTATTGACTTCTATAATATAATCACGTACTAGGTATTCAAATGTTTATGGCAGTTGATGGTAACTTTATCTTTTAGTCAGTCCAAGGTCCCTCTCCCTTTAATTTCTGTCTCTTATTAAACCTCTTTGAAAAAAAAATAAAAATAAAATAAACACGAGAATTTATGTGGTTTGGCTTAAGTCTAAGCCTATGTCTATGATCGACAAAAGATTTTAATTAATAAAGAGTAAGATATTATAAGTTTTAGTCTTCAAACTCTAATTTTCAGTCTCTTCTTTCTTACGATTTTCAGTATTTTTTCTAATCATACTCCAATCCTAAACGCTTTTATATATCAAGTTATAAGAGAACTCTAAACAAGATTCAGAAATTGCAAACCGAAAAACTAGTCAAATTTTTTTTCTCGGAGTTATTACCTCTTAACCCAGTAGCAGCTTAATATAATTTGTAGCCTTGGACGAAAAATATAAAGTGGTCTTTTGATATTCATACCTATATCAAATATGCTCATTATTTCTTTCGTGATTTTTAAACTTAGCACTAAAAATTTTTCAGTCTCTAGTTCCATCGCTAGTTAATTAGCTTTGTGCTAACTACTAGACACATTCAATAATATAAATAAAAATGATAACAACTCACAAGCAAAATATATAAGTTTATGACAACAAAAATTAATAAAATTATAAAATATTTGAAGTTATAAAACAATAGAAACTTATTTCAAAAAATTTGCTCCAATGTTTCAACAAATTCTTCATTACAATAAAAATGTATTTAAAATCTTTTGACGGAATGACATATATAGTGAAATTGTAAATTGTAATGAGTACTAACTGGAGAAGAGAAAAAAAAAATTTAAATGAAAGAGGAGAAAAAAGAGCAGTGCTACACATTTCGAATTAAAATTCCATATTTGATCTTCAATTTGATGAGGCGATATCTAAAGAGACATTAATATTCTTTAATTTAAAATATATTACACTCATTAATATTCTTTAATTTAATACATAGTACATATGTGTGTTTCCTATTTTAGCAAACAAGAATGGAATTGTCCAATTGAAGAAAAAAAAGGAAAGAATGAATAATTACACTAGGTTTTCTCTCTCTATCTTTAATTTGTTTTCCTCCACTAATCTTTTTCAATATATATATATATACAAGTGTCAAATATATATAGGAGTGTGTGTATATAATATATATATATATATTCTCTTATACCCTCTCTATGTTTTTCAACAACTCTATATCTTTGTTGGGTATTTCTTTAAAATTTAATCGTAATTAAAAAATACCAAATCAAAATATAATTATAAAAAGTCTTAAATGAATTATGTAAATTAGGGTTCTTATTCATCAAAAAGAGATTACTCATTCATGGTAAAAATTTGTAACTTCTGGTTTTAATTATTTGAAAATTTAATAGAAAGAGTCCCAAAAGAAGATATATACTTACTAAGATTGAATTTAAATTATTAAGTTATATTAAAGTTTGGATTCTATAATCATTTGTTTTTCTATTTTTTTTCTCTTTTCTATATTAAGAAAATTATACTAAGCAGCATAACATTAATAGATTCATAATGTTAACATTTTCGTAATAAAATCACAAATTATATTTTCTTTTATTATTAAAGCTCAACTAACAAAGAAATGTAACGGTGAGTCCAAAATATTTTTATTATTTTTTTTTCATAGTTGATATTCATACACACATGTCTCCATAAAGATTTGAACCCTTAATCTCTTTTTAAAAAATAAAATTCTGATATCGCTATGCCACTTACCCGTTATATATATATATATATATATATATATGAACAACCAACTAACTTGGCTAAGACTCCAGCCACCCTGTCTGAACCCAGTGGCTTTGGTGGACTTAGACCCACACAGAGTGAAAATTTCAGGTCAAAACCGGGTCGCGTTGTGACCCAGATGAAACAAAATTCGGACAACCAATTTTTTAAGTAGTGAGGATGGTCCAATGACTCCAATGGTGCGAGAGGATGGTGGTGGGCCAAGTATGCATCCTTAGTGTGTGTGCGCGCGTGCATATGCCTTACCAATTGTGCGAGAGGATGGTGATGGGCCAAGTATGCATCCTTACTGTGTGCGTGAAAGTGCTTATATATACCTTACCGTTAAATTATCAGATCATATTTACTAATAGGCACATTACATTGCGGTCAAGTACGTATCCTTGGTGTATTTGTGAAGGTGCATTTGTGTGTATATATATATATATATATTACAATTAAAGTATTTGATTTTTTTTTTAATTATTTATTATTATTATTATTATTTTTTTGTACTATCTGATCATATTCACTAATAGAGGGACTTTCCTAAAATCATGCATTACTATAATCATACTCGTGTTGACTATGCAGGCCTCCCCATTTTCAGCACTACATATTGTTTTTCCCAACCAACTTTTTATATCAATAAATTCAGTTTATATTTAAATATAGACGAAAATGGTAGGGCCGTAGTCTCGTAGATATGTAGTGCATTGGTCACAAATCATGGTATTGCCTTCAATTCTCCAACGCAAAATTAGATTCATTCTCAATCTTTCATTTCATCATTTAAAATTAATTTTGTTTTTAAATTTAAAATTGTAAGAGATAAAATTGAATAAAAGGATGACGTGGTGGCTGAATATGTATTAATGGTGCGTAATCCAATAAAAAAAAGTGCTATAATCTTGATATCCTTAGTGTGTGCGTGAATGTGCTTATAAATGTCTTACCATTAAAGTATCAGATCATATCCACTAATACGCCCATTACATTACGGTCAAGTACGTATTCTTGGTGTATTTGTGAAAGAGCATATATATATGTATATATATCTTACAATTAAAGTATCTGATCATACTCACTAATAGGGACATTTCTAGAATCGTGCATTACTATAATCATACATGTGTTTGACTTTGCAGGCCTCCCCATTTTCACCACTACATATTGTTTTTCCAAACCAACTTTTTTTTTTTTTTTGTTAACTCGGATGTCCGGAATGACACGAATCTTTAGGACCACTCAACAACTCGACTAATTTTCGAAGACCTGAAAGGGCACCTCCCCACCCGAACCCGGTTATCCAAAGTAGATTTTCCCAACCAACTTTATATAAATAGATTCAGTGTATATTTTAGTCTAAACCAAAATGATAGGGACGTAGATATGTAGTGCATTGGCCACAAATCATGGCATTGCCTTTCATTCTCCAACACAAGATAGATTCATTCTTAACCTTCCATTTCATCATTTGAAATTAATTTTGTTTTTGAATTTAAAATTGCAAGAGACAAAATTGAATAAAAGGATAACGTGGTGGATGAATATGTATTAATGGTGCGTAATCCAGTAAAAAAGATTATTAAAGAAATGATTCCTGTAAAAATTAATACTAATAATTAATTAAGATTTCTTCCTTTTTCTGAGAAATCATCAATTCTCCAACAGCCTTTGTTAATCCACTAATTATCCGACTCTAAGGCATTCCAAATTAGTAATTAGTTTCATTATAAAAACTCTCATTATTTCTCTCATTCTCATTATCTTATGTTAGTGTAAAACTCTTTCGTAACCAAACAGGTTGCAGAGCAAGGGAGAAAGAAAGAACCCCTTTCTCTCATCACTCTGCATCTCCACCGCTGGCATCGATCCTTTTTCTTAGCAACATTTTTACATATATGTTGTTTATATTCTGGGTGTGCAAATTACGTTTTATTGACCCAAAAAAGGATTAAATTTTGTGTTTTGTAGATCTTGGATAGTTAAGAAAAGCAAAGATGGAAATGGAAAAAACAGGTAGTCCGGTGTTCAATTCAAAAATCACATTTTATGTGGTAGCGTGTTGGATTCTTGCAGCCTTTGGAGGTTTAATGTTTGGTTATGATATTGGAATTTCAGGTATGTTTAATGTTTTTACTCTAACCGATATAGATATACACACAAATGAATACATAACTCCATTTTTTGTTGGGTGAATTTTTTTATTACGAATTATTTTTTTTTCAAAGTAAAAATGCTAACCAGTTTGTTATTTATCCTTAATTTACAATATATATATATATATATATATATATATATATATATATATATATGCATTTAATATATATATAGATTTTCAGATTAAACTCTCTAGTTAAGGAAAAAAAAGGAGCTATAATCTTGATATCATTTATACAAAATTAAATGACTATCGTATATATATATATATATATATATATATATAGATTTTCAGATTAAACTCTCTAGATAAGGAAAAAAGGTGCTATAATCTTGATATCATTTATACAAAATTAAATGACTATCTATATATATATATATATATATGCATTTAATATATATATATATATATAGATTTTCAGATTAAACTCTCTAGTTAAGGAAAAAAAGTGCTATAATCTTGATATCATTTATACAAAATTAAATGAAACTCTCTAGTTAAGGAAAAAAAGTGCTATAATCTTGATATCATTTATACAAAATTAAATGACTATCATATATATATATATATATGTATATATATCAGTTTTTATAAGGGGAAATTTTGTTTTGATTGATTGTGGTTGGTTTTAGGGGGAGTGACTGCGTTTGATGATTTCTTGATAAAATTTTTCCCAAAAGTCCATGAGAAAAAGCTTCACGCAAAGGAAGACAATTACTGCAAATACGACGATCAATTGCTCCAGCTTTTCACATCTTCCCTCTACCTTGCTGCACTAGTCTCGAGCTTTGGCGCTTCAAAGGCTTGTACTAAATTGGGTCGCAAACCCACAATCCTCATTGCATCAGCCTTTTTCTTGGCTGGTGCCATTGTAAGTGCAGCAGCTCAAGCTAAATGGATGCTCATTGTTGGCCGAATTCTTTTTGGCGTCGGAGTCGGATTTGGCAATGAGGTATACATATATATACATTTCTGACTGTTTTTATATGAGTGGAGGATATGCTCACATGAAACAACAGTTGAATTAGTCTGATTGTCGGATGATTTTGTCGGATTATATAACTTTTGCTATATCTGCCTGAACTATCAAAAATACAACTAACCTCTGAACTATACAATTTGGTGAACAGCCGACCAAAATTTGACCGTCATCGGAGCACGTGTCGTGATATGATATATAAAAATATGGACAATATTGTCCTTATAAATTTGAAAAGTCTAATTTGCCCCTCTTAAAAAACACAAATTATATTAACACCCAAACACGCGTTATGGTTACTGTTCATCTTCTTCCTCTTTCTGTTCATCTATTTCTACCTAAACCCCTCTCTCTCCCTCCCTCTATCTGTATGATATATATATATATAGTGTTGGAAGCCATCATTTAAACGGATTTTTCGTTGCTGTCATGTCAATTTTGGGTTCTTAGACCTTCTCCCAATTTATGTCTCTAGCAGAACTTTCTCTCTCTATAGATAGAGATATATAAATATATATATATATATACAATTTCTCTCTCTAGCAGAACTTTCTCTCTCTACAGATAGATATATATATACAATTTTTCTCTCTAGCAGAACTTTCTCTCTCTACAGATATATATATATATATAAGCCCGTAATGCCCTTTTGTTGCCAGAAAAAAAAGGGAGAAAAAAAATTGTCACTCCAGTTCTATTGCAAGGAAAAACAAAAAAAAAATAATTGGTAATCCAAACCATATATATACAGGTAAATTATGGTAATAACTAATTTAATTTGGTAATCCAGAAACACTGAAAATATAATTTCCATCTCTGCAACTTATTTGACAAAAGAAAAAACTCTACAACTTCATGCCCTAGGTTCAAGCATCTAAGAAGAAGACGGGGGTTTATCCATCCAATGCGAAAAAAATCAAATTTGAATTCCTATTTCTCCTTCAACCTCTGTTGCTATTTCTCTCTTATAAAGACCCTTCAATTATTCTTCATCTTCTGCCCCTGTTACCATCTATGGCTCCTCTTTCTCTCTCTAAAATGCGTTAATGTAATATACACATACCAGGTCACCAAGCTGAATGGTGTGTTGTCCCTATTTAATTGGTTATTGAGATTTCACGGTCCATGTCAGCATGTTTTAAGTCTATAAAGTTTGAAACTGTGCCCTTTTTCTGTAAGGGTAACAGAGTCTTTTGGTTTTTCGGTGCCGGAATCTTTGCTACTGGAGTAAACTGCAACAAAATAATAATTTAGAAGAATTTTTTTTATAATTCAGGGGTCTTTTTTGCACTTTTCTCTTTTTCTAATATGAATACTAAATTTGGATTGTTTTTGCAGTCTGTTCCAGTGTTCTTGTCAGAGATTGCACCGGTCCAGCATCGTGGTGCTGTCAACATTCTCTTCCAACTCTTTGTAACAATTGGAATTCTGATTGCAAATCTGGTGAACTACGGCACGTCAAAGATTCATCCACATGGATGGAGGCTATCTCTAGGGCTAGCAGGTATTCCTGCATTGATCCTATTGTTGGGCTCATTGGTGATCAGTGAAACACCGACGAGCCTGGCGGAGCGCGGGAAGGAACAAAAGGGTAAAGCAGCACTGAAGAAGATCAGGGGTGTGGACAACGTTGATGCTGAATACCAACAAATCTTGATGGCCTGCGAGGAAGCCAAACAAGTGAAGCATCCGTTCAAGAAGCTCATGAAGCGCGAGAGCAGGCCTCCGTTGATCATTGGCATTTTGATGCAAGTGTTCCAGCAGTTCACTGGGATTAATGCCATCATGTTCTATGCGCCAGTTCTGTTCCAGACTGTCGGGTTCAAGAATGATGCATCGTTGCTGTCCTCCGTCATCACTGGACTTGTCAATGTGGGCAGCACTTTCGTGTCCATCTACGCAGTTGACAAGCTTGGAAGGAGAAAATTACTTCTTCAAGCTTGTGTCCAGATGTTCATATGCCAGGTACATACCTTGATTATTGTGAATGTGTGCGCGTTTACTTGAACTTCCAGAAAATTAAGTAGGTACTTATATTTTTTAATTTGAAAAAATCTCAGGTGGCAATTGGATCAATTTTGCATGTTCACTTGAAAGCCACAGGGTCGACACTTAGCAAAGGACTAGCTGCTGTTGTGGTGGTGCTGGTGTGTATGTATGTGATGTCGTTTGCGTGGTCATGGGGACCTCTAGGTTGGTTGATACCTAGTGAGACATTCCCAGTGGAGACGAGAACAGCAGGGTTTGCATTTGCTGTGAGCACCAACATGTTGTTCACTTTCCTCATTGCTCAGGCATTCTTGTCAATGTTGTGCCATATGAAAGCTTTCATATTCTTCTTCTTCTCGGCTTGGATTTTCGTGATGGGGTTGTTTGTGGTGTTCCTGTTGCCGGAAACAAAGGGTGTCCCCATCGATGTCATGAACGAGAGGGTGTGGAAGCAACATCCGGTGTGGAGAAAGTTCATGGATTGATGATTTGGGGGTCGGGAATTGGAGGCATTTGTCATGGCCTAGATAGAAATTTGCCTAGACACTCCCCCAATATAATTATTTTTTGTTTAGCATTTTTAATTCTTCTTTTCTTTCCATGGAAATGTTTGGGAGGTCAATATTCTTGTGTTGAATTAGCAGAATTATCTGTACCCGTTTGTTTTATTGGAAATGGAAAGAAAATTCAAGAATATGCTTTTACTAATTTGTTGATTGAAGATTTTTAATAGTACAAGTAGTGCATTTCATCAATTGCTCCATGTGAAAGCAAGCAAACAACTAGGACAATTTCGAATTTATAAAGCTGAGTAATAAGAAAATTGATTTCTTATTGATAAATAATGATAATTTTAAGAATACTTATAACTAATATTTATATATGTATAGAAATCCTAAAAACTACCCAATTTTGCACACTAGAAATATGAAAAATCGGAATAAGACTGTTCCTAATGACTAAATTAGGATAACCACCAAAAATCAAACCAATCCTAGTTATTGGATAACACAAAAATATGAAAGCATATATAGCTTATGAGTATTTGTTTACGTCCTAAAATAGGGATTAGTTGAAACTGTACTAATAATATTGTTATCCTTGCTGTTTGTTAATCACTTTTGTTCGGAAATGTGTCTTCCGAATGGAAAAGGATTCAACAAAACTGTACCAATAATCTTGTATTTTTACTTATCTCCTCAATCTCGCCGACATTTATTACTTATCTCCTCAATCTTACCGTTTAGAATTCTGGTGGTCCAACAATTGGACATTTATTACTTATCTCCTCAATCTTGTTTTAGAATTCTGAGGATTCGACATTTATTACTTTATCTCCTCAATCTTGCCTTTTAGAATTCTGGGGATCCAACAAATCGACATTTATTACTTTGACATTGAAAAATGATTTTCAAGTAAAAAATTAGTGATACTATGATCCAATAATAAAATAACACATTACATTTAATTATAAAATAATTCATATATAAAAACACTATATATGAGTTTATTTAATAGTTGATCTGAAAAAGCAGAGAAAGGTGTAAATTATTTTATTATTAAAAGTGATGTATTATTTTGTTATTGGATCACGTAAGAATGAGTAACTTCATCCTACCGGTCAGTAGCTAAGTATTGTCCATATATATTATGTTACATTTTATACAAAGAACAGAGATTATACGCAGTGATTAAGTGGCGTATTGTTTGGCGCCTTAATCGGATTGGCACGGGCATGCGGAGACGTGTTAGAGCCATGCCTTACGTCCCTAGAAGTCATCGAGCATGGGCTATGCGCAACGGTATTTATGGGCCGCCTGTCCGTTTCAAGTGAAAGGCCCATACCTACCCATATAGCCGGCCCTTCACTACACAAAGCCTACAAAGCAAGCAATATTAGGGCTAATTTTATTATATGACACATTTTTATTGAGTAAACAATTGCCTATTATATAGTTAGTAAAATAGGGTGTTGTAAATGTAGGATATGATGTAAAAAATATATAAAAACGAATATATTCGGATATAATACTTTGTTTGAAATATTTTAGTAATTATTAAATATTGAAATATTTTTTACTATTTATTTCAATAATATAAAAGACTATAATACTTATTAAGTTAGGGAAAAACTAAACCAAATTTTACCTCGCGTTCATTTACTTTCCAACATGTAATGGAAAAAATTTGTGGCATATATAAATCAACCTGTATTGCAAAATTACCATACCAACTATCTGGAACTAACAACTTGCTTGAAATTAAGTATATAATGTGTAGAAATGTGTCTAAAGTTGGCTCTGAGTTTACTTGGTAGATGATATTAGACATTTAATTATCACATATTTTTTTTAAAAATGGTTTAATTCAATATCTTAAAAGTAAACATTATAGGCGAGAAAAACACTCATTTAAAAGTTACAAAATTGACCTGTATTACAGCATATATATATATATATATATATATATATATATATATATATATATATATAGAAGTATCACAATTTTGTTCATCATTTTGTTGATTGCAGTACCGTACATTACTGAAAATATTGTAATGGACCCATCCTTTTCATAGGCTAGAATGCAACAATATCAGCAATTTTTTGAGTATGCCAGCCTGATCCATATCTAATTTTCGAATTATTCAATAAATTAAGTAATAATTGTTATAAAGCATCATCCAACAAACAGACTCACATGGTAATATATAAAGATTGGATTATGATTTTAAGCATTTGAACCAACATTTTTTTTTCCATGAACATTAACAAATTTCAAACAGAAAGCTTCAAAGCAAAGAGGCTACAATTTCATTGTCACAAGTTGTGATATTCAGACAATTTAATTTTCTGGACTTGACTTAACTAGTCCATAAACTTCTTCCAGACTGGATGTTGCTTCCAGACCTTATCAGCCATGGAATCGATGTGCACACCCTTTGTCTCCGGCAAGAGGAACAACACAAACATCCCCATGATGAAAATCCAAGCCGAGAAGAAGAAGAATATAAAGGCTTTCATATGGCACAGCATTGACAAGAATGCCTGAGCAATGATGAATGTGAACAACATGTTGGTGCTAACAGCAAATGCAAACCCTGCTGTTCTCGTCTCCAGAGGGAATGTCTCACTGGGTATCAACCAACCTAGAGGTCCCCATGACCACGCGAACGACATCACATACAAGCACACTAGCACCACCACAACAGCAGCTAGTCCTTTGTCAAGTGTTGAGCCTGTGGCTTTCAAGTGCACATGCAAAATTGATCCAATTGCCACCTGCATTTGCAATTCACCAATGTAAGTACCTAGTTACTACCCAAAGTTCAAGTAAACACACACACTCCCACAATATTTCCTCTAGCAGGGTTCGAAATCTCAAACTCTCTCTTGGGTATGAGAGATCATATATACCATCTGGGCTAATGCCCATTGTCGAGAAATTAAGTTCAAGCTGGACAATGAAGGTACGTACCTGGCATATTAACATCTGGACACAAGCTTGGAGAAGTAATTTTCTTCTTCCAAGCTTGTCAACAAAGATGATTGAAACGAAAGTGCTGCCCACATTGACAATCCCAGTGATGACTGCGGACAGTAAGGAAGCATCATTCTTGAATCCCATGGTTTGGAATAGAACGGGGGCGTAGAACATGATGGCATTAATACCAGTGAACTGCTGGAACACTTGCAACATAATGCCAATGATCAATGGGGGCATGCTCTGCTTCTTCATGAGGCTCCTGAATGGATGCTTGACTAGTTTGGCTTGCTCACAGGCATCCACAATCTGTTCGAATTCAGCATCAACATCGTCCACACCCCTGATCTTCTTCAGTGCTGCTTTACCTACATGATCCTTCCCGCGTTCAACCAGACTCGTCGGTGTTTCAGTGATCACCAATGAACCAAAAAATAGGACCACGGCAGGAACAGCTGCTACTCCTAGAGATACCCTCCATCCGTATGGATGCATTGATGATGTGGCATAGTTCACAAGATTTGCAATCAGAATTCCAATTGTTATAAAGAGTTGGAAGAGAATGTTCACAGCCCCACGTTGATGGACCGGTGCAACCTCTGACAAGAACACAGGAACAGCCTGCAATGTATGTATATATTTAAGCACTCAATTTAATAAGAAACATTGGATTAATAGTAACACTTTTTACATTTATCCGAGTTTAGTATACTATTCATATTTGCGATGAAAATATGTATATATATATGTATGTATGTATACCTCATTGCCAAATCCTACTCCAATTCCAAAAAAAATCCTCCCAAGAATGAGCATCCATTTAACTTGAGCTCCTGCACTTAAACCGGCTCCGATCAAGAAAAAGGCTGATGCAACTAGGATTGTGGGTTTGCGACCTAATACAGTACAGGCCTTTGATGCACCGAAGCTGGCGACTAGTGCAGCGAGGTAGAGGGAAGATGTGAAAAGCTGGAGCATTTGATCATCGTACTTGCAGTAATTGTCTTCCTTTGCATGAAGCTTTTTTTCATGAATTTGTGGGAAAAATTTGATCAAGAAATCGTCCATAGCGGACACTCCCCCTAAAATCATGAAAAGCAAAAATAACTTTATCATATATAAATATTTTCAAATGCCATCTAATTAGTGTAGTCTACAATTTGTTAGTTTTGTATCATTTCTATAAGATATATAATAGGCCATCATCTTACATGCTCATTCTTAATTAAAATCTATACATGCATGCAACAATATATCTATATTTTTACATTTGTATGTATATCTATTACATTAATTGGTTTATGAAATATTGACAAAATGAAACATACCAGAAATTCCTATGTCATAACCAAACATTAAGCCACCAAAGGCAGCAATAATCCAACATGCAAACACATAACCCGTGGTTTTGGAATTGAAACGGGCGTCTGGTCCTGCCATCTTTGCGAATTCTCGAAGATGTAGCAAACAAAAACCGAATTACTCAAAGTTGAGAACAAGGTAGAAGAGGGCAGGCGCTCTCTTCTTCACCTTGTTGGAGGTATGGTTATGGAGGAGGAAGAGGAGGTATGGTCCTAATGGTAATGTGTTATGAGGACAGGTATGGGTATTTGTAGACATTTTTGTTTTCAAATTTGGGTCGTTTCAGAATAGATATTTGACAAAATCTACGTAAATAAGATTGTTTTTATCTAACAATAGTTGTAATTTAAGAAAGTACGTGTAATAAGCTTAATGGACTTTTCTGTTTTAAACAGTGGTGTGTGCTGGGCCTGCTGGCAGTGTTTGCTATTTAAAGGGGTCATAAACTCCCTTTTTCTTTAGATAATGCAGGTAGGTTAATTATCTTTGACTCATGAAAAATAATAACAATAACAAAAATTATCTTTGAAGTTTTATTTTGAGTAAATCACCGTCACAATAATATCCTATTTTTATTAGTGCATGCAAAGAGTTGTCTGTCATTTTCTTTACCAGTCAATGGATTAACAGCACGATTCAATAGTTCACAACATATCCCCAGTAAGCATAGAGGTGATCTCCAAATCACAGTCCTTTTGTTTTTCCTATTAATAATATCACTATTTGCTACAATATATATATATATATATATATATATATATATAATTGAATCAGATAATTTCTCAGGCGCGCACACTCATTTTGCTGTAAAATTGATGCAGAGAACAGTGAAGTAGTAGACAATGCTCCTTTCCAACTGTTGACCCTTTAAAAGTATTCAGAAATTGGCTAATACGTGTCGGAACCAATGGGCTAGTTCAAAACTTCAAGTTAGAGATCTTGGTCAAACTGAGTCTCTTTTGGAAAATAATTAACCAGGCTATTGTAGAAATAGTGAACATTGAACTTTCTTTAATGGGTTCAATTGCCTTTTAAGTGAAAAGGACTATGAAGGGAAGAACGAATTGCAATGAAATTGAAATTTGAATTAAAATGAAAATTGAGATTGAAATAAAACCCAAAGTAGCTTCTAGTAATGAGTTAACGTGAATTGAATTTGCAAGAATCTGAAAAATATGAGAATTAATATTGCAAAAGGAATACATTCAAAAGGAAATAACTACTAAAATAAATAGAATCAAACTAAAATTATTAACTAAAAAGGATTTGAATTAAACTAGAAAATTAAGAATGACAAAGCTAAGATAGCATGATTGAAAAGGAAATCAATTGCATTGAAGATTATGAGGGTGTGACCCTGTGCACATAATGCTTCTACTCAAAAATTGCTAACCCATAAATCTAGATTTTGTCTTGGTTCCTTTGTTGAAGGGTCTGATAAATATATTCTCATATTAATCTCCAAAGTATGGCTAAATATTAAGGATAACTATATATAAATCCTTATAGAGCATCTCCAACCATTGTGTTTTTTTTTTTTTTTGTAAATCTGATGTGTAATAATTGATTTACACAAAAATTTGGTGTTAATATCTTGTTTGTTCCTACAATGTACCTTTTTTTTCGAATAAGTAAAACAGATTTTCCCCTCAATTTATCTAGATAACTATGGAACTGAACCGGGTCGATGTTTCACGGTTTGGTTCAGTTCTATGTCCCAACGGTTCCGATCCCAATTCTAATTTTTTGGGAACGGTTGAATTTTGATTTAGTCGGAAACCATATCGAACTAGACCGTGTGTCTGATGACCTTGTGGGCGGGTGTGCTGTGGGCGGGTGAGAGAGATACTGACAGGCTACCACACTGGCGAGCTACGGGTGTACAAATGTAAGTGTGTCATCTCCAATTGGTATGAGGTCTTTTGGGGTGAAGCTCAAGAGCAAAAACCGTGCGGGCTCAGGTCCAAAGTGGACAATATCATACCATGTGGTGGAGTGGATTGTTACAAATGGTAACAGAGCCTGACCCAGCCGGAAGTGTGCCGACGAGGATGTCGGGCCTCCAAGGGGGGTGGATTGTGATAACCTTGTGGGCGGGTGTGCCGTGGGAGGGTGTGAGAGATACTGACAGGCTACCACACTGGTGAGTTACGGGTGCACAAGTCCCACATCGCCTGGGTAGAGGGAAAGGTGAAGTGCTTATATGTAAGTGTGTCATCTCCAATTGGTATGAGGCCTTTTGGGGTGAAGCCCAAGAGCAAAAACCGTGCGGACTCAGGCCCAAAGCGGACAATATCATACTATGTGGTGGAGTGAGTTGTTACAGTATGCACCCCTAACACTTCATTAGTATGGTGTCACATAGTTGTAGACTACACCATAACAGTTGTGGAGGAAAGGGCCACAACTACATGAGATCCTCGTCAATATCATAATTACCTCACTTTAGAATTTTCCTTCCTCTAATTTGTTTATTACTTTTTTTTTTTTTTTTTTTCTTTCTTCTCTCTTTCATTTTTGACAAGGCAAAAGTGCACTAAATAGTAAACATCCTTTGACTTGTTGTAAAAAACACCATTAACTATTAATTGAGTAATTAAGTCTTTCAATTTTCAAAAGACTCACATTGCACCCGTAAAAGTCCTTAACAGTTAAAAAAAAATTGTCAAAATAAAATAGAATGCCAAATTACATTTCTAATTTTAAACATCAACAAAGATAAGTGATCAGTTAATTAATTTTATGGATTAATTACAACGACACCCCCTGAAGTTTACCCTATTGACAGTCATATATAACTTAGTCGTTTTTTGAACAAAGACACCCCATTAGATTTGATAAAGTTAACAAAGACACCCCAATGGTCGTGAATTGACATTATTGTTCTTTGACACATTCAATTACCAATTTACCCAATACAACTATTTTTTATTGACCAAAATACTCTAGAAACTATACTCATACCAGTTCACACCCACCACCACCATTTCACAGCCCTACCATAGCCACCGTTGCCGCACTGCCGCCGCCACCATGTTGCTCGAAATAAAGCTATCAAGGATCACAAAATACAAAATAGAAAGTGCAAAGATCAACTCCTAATCTCTCTGTATAATATACAAACATATATGTGTATTTATAACCCGTAATCCATCATCTTTCCCAAATCCACTTCCCCCAAATTCCTGTAATCCTGTGTTACCTGGACTCGCCTGTTCAGGCCGAAGTGTCCGTGTCGACACGACACGACACGGACACGGACACTGGATCTGAGTCGGATCCTTCATGGCGTCTACCGGACACGGTTGATAGATAACGAAAACTCAAACAAAGATGTTTGGGTTGGTAGTTGTGAAGGATTGCGAACTTTCTTCATACTTTATTTGTTAAATAGGTTGCCATTAATGAGATCAGAAAACTTACTGGTACAACAATGGCGGTTTGCTTCAAAAGTAGCGTCTTTCGAAGGTTAGAGAAGACTGAAGTGTACGTGCTTTGTTTGTACAAAATTTTGTAACAGCCGAGCGTGTTTTCACATTCTTACTAATGCTTTTAATACCCTTCAACGGTCACAATCATGCCACTTGTCAATTTGGATGTAAAAATATGGGAGAGTTTGGTCTTTTAACAAGGATAATGTTTTACAGCTGTAAAACACCATCTAAGCTATGAACAATTTACAACTGTACAACTGTATTATTTTATTTAAGTAATATCTATCGGTCAATCTCAAGTAAATTTTTTGACCTGACAGTTTGACTTTATGTGATACCCCCGGATTTCCGGATGCGGGTTGGCCAGGCCCACGCCCGATTACCCGAGGATATCAAAAACAATTAGCAATTTAATGAACACAGAATACAATATAGAAAACAAGAATGAATAAAATTTTGCTGAAAAGAACCTAGAATGATAATCCAATAATTGAAAACCTCAGAATAAATAATTTCATTGATAATTAAAACTATTTTGATACAACTGATCCACCACGAATGAAAATCGTTCTCCAATTTATACAACTCGGGAATCCATCTAGTGGACCCCTAAAATATCCAATGGTACTCAAAAGACTGGAACAAAACCCAAGTCTTAACATGAAATAAAATCCTACGCCATCAGTAGAGTGAATAACTGTATCTGCTCAGCACGATCAAGCTCTACAGCCCAGAACTGACGAACACCTGAAAAAAATAATAAAAGGGTGGGTCAGCCCCACAAGCAAGTTCTAATCTAACTGCAATCCATACAGTGACCCGATACGCAGATACACCATAGATACCTCACAATATCTATCTAGTCTATACATATATATATCCACACTATGGGACCTTCACTGAACTACAGTAGGGATCTCAACCTGAATAGAAGGCAACATGCGAATACGCACCCAAAAGTGGGCATGAGTACCTAGACCTAACAGGGTACACCCAACCTACTATAACCAGCTACACATCCACTGCATATACGTACCCTAACCAACAAGTTTGAGACTCAAGCTCAACTCGTGGTACCATAAACATATATATCTAAACTCCGTTCCTAACCATTCACAAGAAATCCAATAAGTCATTCGGCGTATTCAACCGTACCGACTTATATATATATAAGGAGGATTTATTTAACAACCCGTTCCCTTATTCCAAAATAGGTAGGACTGAGTATTTTAAATCAGTCTGTCCCTAATATGCCACCGTCCCATACCGGTGCATACAATCCACAAAGTCCATATAATTGATAGAACCAGTCATACTGTTCACCAATTAAAATCCATAAGGTAGGAATTAGCATTTTGAACTAAACCATACCTAGTATGCCACCGTCCCATACCGGTGCATACCATCCTCCATATCCATGTAAATTACAACATTCAAATGATAAGCAAGTAATTTACAATGCAAAACCAAACCCAGATAATTGACAGAATTTTAATGTGAGAATTCAGCAATTAAAATCCAATACATAATTCCAAATAATTGGTCAAATTTAATATAAGAATTCAGCAATTATAATCCAATATATGATTCCAAATAATTGACCGAATTAAGTATAAGAATTCAGTAATTATGTTCCAATACATAATTCCAGGTAAATTACAAGGCATAAATAATAAGCACGTAATTTATAGTCCAAAACCAACCATCCACATCGTTGCAGAATAGTATTGAGTATTTCAACAACTTAAAACCAAAACTATGTAA